TGGCGAGCCGGCAGTCATCTCGCACAGGAATTCCACAAAGTCCCCTGAGAGGCGTGGCACTTCTAATACCCCCACTCTGCTTGGTCCGGATAAGGCGCCGCCAATACACTCCATTCTCTCCCCGGTGGCGACAGGCTGTTACCAGCCGCGGCCAGTCTATCGGTCGCCACTACCAGTCGACGGCGATAGTCAGGGCGTACCTTGCTGATGGCACGATGGCGCTTGAACCAGACTAGGTACAACAGGAGCTGAGCGCTGCGATGGGCCCGATTACACTTCCTGTTCTGGGTAATGGCTTCTACGAGATTCCGTAGCAGGACCTCTGTTCGTACGTTCCTAACATACCTGTGTCATCAGTACTATCCTATTCCGGAATTTACCCCTTGTTTCTTTTGAGTCCAGCACCCACTTATGCACTGCCTTTGTGAACGTCGACATTTTCTCCTCCTCAGAGCTCTTTTTTTCCAAGGCGTTGTTGGAGTACAAGGATGTTTCACCGAGGGATGTGTATGACTCTCCTCGCTAAGGATCGCTAATGTACGGCCCCGATCACGACGAAGTAGGCGTTAGTAGCAGGCGACGCGAGCAGTTTGCGCATTAGGACCCAATCCGCTCAACATAGAAGTGCCTCGGTGCGCGTGTCGAGACCCTCTGCGTCTGCGTCCCCCAAGCCGGCTAGCTCTCTGTGCCTCTGTCAGCTAGGAGATACACTGCGTAACCGCGACTGTGAACTCTGGAAACACACAATCAACGAGAAATCATTGTAAATCAAGAATAACTCACTGCACTATGGCTATTGCGGTGGGCGCTTTGTTAACACCATCTATCGTGAAGAATGGCATACCCATTTGCTGAACTCTGTGGATGGGATAGTCTTTGATGTGATTATCGACGCGTACCGTTAAGCAAGGCTGAAACTGTGTCTATCGCAAAGGTTTTGAGAGTATTTCCTCTCATCTAGTGACTGCCTGTTAATTCTATGGGACACGGATAAAAAGTAGCTAAGGTGGAATCTTCAAGATGCCCCTCAACTTTTGAGGAAGTGCAAATGGTGTGTTTGTACTTATAAGATGTCTAGATGACGGTAAGTCGTGCAGAAACCTGTTTTCAATTATACGATTTGAGTCTTCGGAATGAATTTTAGAGTTTCACGCGGTTAATAAGCATTGAAAATAGGGCTTAGCTCACAAGGCCAGTGTACACAGGAATACCTAGCATACATGTAGAGAACTTCAGTTAAATAAAAAACTATTGTAATAAGCGAAGTAGTTCGGCTGAAAATAAACTCACCACTGGTCCGCGCCCTGCCTCGGCTTCAAGCGCTCTTACGAGAAAATCACCAGTCGCAGCTACCAAGCAAATAACGTCCTCCAATGGAAGAGAGCCATGATACCAGTTTTCGTTCTCCAGTTCCTGGAAGAGGTTTCACTGTGTAATAAAAGTATCTGAATGGTGCCTGGCCTGCATGAAGGAAAAAGGATGGAGCTTCCGCCTGCGGCACGCACTTTCTTTTTCTCTGAATCGAGCGCCTCACTGAGCGCGATATTGCCCATACAACTACGTGCTGGGCCTACACGCTGCACTGGTCATCCTCCTAGATGAATCGAGCACCATTTACCGGTCAGGGAGGGTGGAAGGCTCGGCTTGTTCGGGCAGGCGGAAGTCGATCTGGGGTTCGTTCATGAGACTGCGCGAGTGGTGAGCACACCACTTTAACGGGTCATCTTACAAATACCCATGTCACATAACTTGTCCAATAATGCCAAACATTTCCCGAATTTATGCTGGGCACAATGGACCCCGCAACAGAGCGGAACAAACGCCGAGAAAAAGAAACCCTTTTTTCGTATCCGCTTTTAGTTCTTTAACGAGGTGTTTTGCATATTGGAACATGGGACAGCAAGAAGCGTAACCTCGTATTTCATGCTGATTTCCTGCTCTTATTCGTACGCTTTTGCCTGTCTTTCGTCTGGAACTTCGTCACTCTCGCAGGTACAAGCCTCGCCCTCTCCCCTTACTGCTCCATGGTGTAGAGGGTACGTAAGGGCACGAGAAATCCTAAAAACGAGTAGGCCTGTATTTCGTCTGAGGGAAAGGGATTTGCTGTCCTTTAGCAGGCGCTGCGTGGCGCCCTTCCCGAGTAGAATGCCCTTATAGCGCCCTACCAAGCTGCCACACCGACTGGGTGCGTACCCGCGCTCGCCCACCCATAGATGGACGACCGATGCTGATGCTCGTATCGCTTCATTTGCGAAGTACAATATGAAGCGAAGGGATTGATATGAAGCGGCTGCGGTGCTGCATGGATATATGAGTACATACGTGCAGCCGTATCTACCGTAGCGGTTATTGGCACGATGCCGAACGGGAAACTCGTCCGAAACTGCTTTCTGAGAAAAGGTCTTTGCAGGTTTTTAACCGCTCCATTTCGCTTTTTCGTCCTCTTCTCGCTATATGGTTCACCTGCTACTATTTCGCACTACATATTGCCGTATGCCTTCAAACAATGGTAGCGGTTACAACTACCAGTGAGGATTGTTCTTCGGAGGTATGTTCCTGGCCTGTAGTGGCACACTATCATAAATCA